AAAATTACCAAATTTATAAATTTCCTAATTTATCTATTGATTTGTGGTTAATATTGGTTCTCACAGTTACCACAAACAACTCAGTTCTCCCTTGAATAGGCCCCTATATATATATATATATATCTAAGATACCAAAATAAAGGTTTTGAAAACACATTACACAAAATATGAATCAGATATAAGTTTGCATTTTCAGGCAATTTCCCCATAAGTGGTAATTTAGTGGCATGATTCCCTTTTTTGGTTTAAGCCTTATTTTGTGTAACGTACATTTAAAACCTTCATTTTGCTACATCAACGTGGTATCTTAAACATTTAAACCAAAATAGTTATATAAAATAAGAACCAGATCAAAATACGTTGTATTTTGATGTATTCGATCTCATATGTAAACCAGTAACATAAATGTTTGAGATGTCACATACGAGATATCGAAAATAAAAGTTCTGAAAGTATTTATACAAAATAAGAAGACCAGCTATTTTCATTTTCTTGCAATTTGCCCATAAAATAGTTTTAGTAGTCAAGCAACATATTTTCTAGCAAAGTTTCACCGTGTTACCAACGGATATGAAAATAAATAAATGATTTTATGTAAATTTGGTGAGATATGAAGAAAAATATATCCACTGAAATCAATATAAATATAGTTGAAAATTACGTATGATGAAGAGAAATACAAAAAATGTAATGAAAACCGAACAGTTTGCCATTTTGGTGTGCTTAGTGAGTTGTTGATATATTATGTATATATAGGAGACATTGCAGTGTTGATTATAATTGTAGTTATAGTTGATGGTTAATGCGACCTTAATTAGTTGGTTTAATTGGTAAATTTTAACATGACATATATGTTAACATTATGAATTGGCCAATATTTCGTTATTTGTTGCCATATGTGGTATTTATGGAGTAATGATCAATTAAAATTGAAGTAAAAATACGTTGTTGTAAAATGCCTTAAATGAAAATGACAAGCTTAAAAAACATGTTACTTTCTACTCAAACTGAATTGAAGGTGACATTGATTTGGTTCCCTGGTATCCAACTGAATTTGAAGGCATTAGAACGATCAATTTCATCGATCAAATTTCATTCATTCATTTGGTTCATTTTTTGAGTTCTAGTACAAAATTCCAGTTCCATATATGGTAGAATTTAAAGGGGTGTTTGGTTCATGAATTTTAAAGGAATTGGAATGGATAATTTCATTGACCAAATTTCAAATCCCTTTTTTGGTTCACATAATGAAAATGTCGAAATCATTTGAATTCCACAAATAATGGAATTCATCATTCCTTGACATAAGTGAAGAAATTGAATTACATCTTTTTACATCCAATTTAACCTACACCATGCACCCCCTATCCCAACCATGACCTTGATATCACTGTCACGCTCATGCTCCCATCCTAACCCCTAACCCCAACTCCCTACACCACTACCATCGTCGTCACAACCGTCACCCACCACTGACCACCATGTCGCTCCTGTCGTCGTCATAGCTACCACCTCCACCCTCGCCACCCGACCATCATGCCACTACCTATCTTCGTTACAGCTACCACCCGTTGCCTACCCACCCTTACTTTGACCATCATGTCGTTGCTATCATTGTCACAGCTATCACTATGCACCTACCCAGCCCCACCCTACCCCAACCCTCCCTACCTTACTAACCACCATGCCACTATTGTCGTCATCACAACTACTACCTTGGCCCCGACACCCATCGTTCCCTACCGACTACCATGCCACTACTGTCGTCATCACAATTACCACCATAGCTTTCCTCCAAACAAAGATGAAAATTCCAATTCTTTTAATAGATTCCATTCCAATTCCTACCAACCAAACGTGTAGTCAAATTTCATTTTAATTCCTTCCAAGTCAAATTCTCTTGATGTATTTCATTTCCACCAAATTCCATTTTTGTGAACTAAACGCCTCCTAAATTCCTTTGTGATTCAATAAGAAATTTCTATTCCATTTGGTTGGTTTAATTGGTAACTCTTTTATTATGACATATATGTTAATGTCATCAATTATCCAATTTTCTAATAAATTTGAGGATATGGTGAAAAATTATGTTGTGTTAATAGTCCTTTAGCTTTTACAGGTTTCATTTCAATTTATGCTCATTAAACACAAGGTCAAACATGATTAACAGAGCTAAGGTTGACGATGTTAGGGTAATGGACACAATCCATAACAAAAGTGAAACCACTGTAACCATACATGTAATTATTCCGTTTAAGGGACCCAATCGAAAATTTCATGTAACAAAGGGACGAAATTTGTAATTTACTCTAAGAAATATCAAGTTTTGGTAATATCTTTTAGATGATCAAACATAACTAAATTAAATTACAATTCGGGGCGGGCTAAATGCATATGCATTGCCAGCACCTCTACCTGCATACATCAACATCAACACATGTTTTTTATTTTCACAATGCATAAAATGACCTGATTCTGACATGAAAGAAGATGCAAATAACATTCCCTTATAATTCTTTTAACATATTCCATTTCTAACACATTTTATTAACCAGATGCAATTCCATACTCTTCGTTAGCATGAAATGTTGTAATTCA